TCCGAGCACTTGTAAGGCCTCTCCCCCGTGTGCCCGCGCTGGTGGTAGCGGAGGCCCGAGGAGCCTTTGAAGGCCTTGCCGCACTCCGAGCACTGGTAGGGGCGTCCCGGGTCCCCGGAGGAGGAGCGGGGCGCCGCGGTGGAGGGAGGAGGAGGAGGAGGAGGAGGAGGGAGGGGAGCGGGCACCGGGCATGTGACCTCCGCCTCAGCCTGCACCAGGCGCTGCTCGGCCGTGTGCCCGCGCTGGTGGGCCAGGAGGCCCGCCAGGCGGGCAAAGCTGGCATCGCAGACGGCGCATTTGTAGGGCGCCTCATCCCCGGCCGCTAGCGGGCAGGGCACCACTTCTTCCTCCAACTCCTCGACCACTACCACCTCCTCCCCGGCCACCGTCGCCGGGTCTCCCTCCCCTTCCTCCACGCCGGGAGGCTCCGGCCCTCCTCCTCCTCCGGCTCCCCTCTCCTCAGCGCCCGCCAAACTCCCGTGGGTGCGCAGGTGCCGGCGGAGGTAGGCCGGGGCGGCGAAAGATTTGCCGCAGACCCGGCAGGGGAGGGGTGCCTGGTCCGTGTGGGTGCGGCGGTGGAGCAGCAGGTTGGAGGAATGTGTGAAGGCCCGGCCGCACTCCCCGCAACCGTAGGGCCGCTCGCCCGTGTGGGTGCGCTGGTGCTGCTGCAGGTTGGAGCTCTGGGCGAAGGCCTTGCCGCACACCCGGCAGGGGAAGGGCCGGGCCCCCGTGTGGAGGTGGCGGTGCCGCGACAGGCTGGAGGAGTTGCGGAAGGCCTTGCCGCAGTCCGAGCACTGGTAGGGCCTCTCACCCGTGTGCTGCCGCAGGTGGTACTGGTAGTGGGAGGACCACTTGAAGGTCAGGCCGCAGAACTGGCACCGGAAGACCCGGGCGCCCGTGTGGACCCGCTGGTGCACGGCCAACAGCGAGGCCCGTTTGAAGGCCTTGCCGCACTCCGAGCACTTGTAAGGCCTCTCCCCCGTGTGCCCGCGCTGGTGGTA